ACCGGCTGCAACTTTTGATGATGGTTGCTACCATCTTTGCGTCATATAAAAACGATTGCAACCACTGGTTGCAACCATTTTGTTTCCTTTTTTGGATTGCGACATGGAACACTAAACGTTACACTATGATTATGTGTGCACATAATGAATTAATTAAAATTTAAATTTGCTATACATATGCAATTATAAGTAATTTTTATGTAGGAATTAAATTTATAAAAACTTAAACAAGAATAAGATTCAACAAAACTTTCCCTCCAGCACTATCAAAATAATAATAGAGAAATGAATTTCATTCAATTGTGAAAACACATTTTAGATACTGATGAAAATTTTCCTTTAATAATCCAAATATATTGTTATTGTTAGAATGACACTTCTTATACCTCTTTCTAATGCTCATGTAGAAAGAATATTCTCTCAAACAAAGTTAATTAAAAACAAATTGAAAAAAAAATGCTTTTAGATACATTAGATGCTCATCTAATGATTTTATTAAATGGATCAAAATTCTGATTTTTTTAAAAGCACTAAAACATTGGGGGAGTAAAAGCAAAAAAAACATTTTGTTTTTTTTTGTTTTGTATATGGGGAATGCTGCAACAAACCAGGTAAAGTGAACATTGGTATTGCCAATGATTAATAATGTTTGTTTTTAACATCACAAATTATAATTTAACAGGTTAAATTAAGAGGAGTACTAGATTTCAGAGATCTAAGTTGGTATTTAATACTAAATTGGATATTAATTAATATGCATTTTCCTGTATAATATGTATAATGATATATGCAACCGTTACTATAGATTTAATGACATTGCTTTAAAATCTTTATGATTTAAAGATAATTTGTTGACTTATTAAAATGTAAAATTTTTTAGCAAAGTAATTTATTTTATCTTTAAAGATGTTAAATACTATATGTATATCAATTGATATAATAATCAATCTATTTAGCAATCAAATTTTCTAAACAATACAAATCATGCTTTTTCTTCATAATTGCACCATCCTTAATACCCTCTACCTGGTTAAATTTTGAGTTCAAGAAAAATGGATAATGTTCTGTTTCAGTCCAGTTAAAATTTATCAAATAAGTCTTTTCCATATTTTTATCATACAAAATACTGCTTGGTTGAAGATTGTAGGAGGATCTAAGGCTGGAACGAGCTTTTTTTTAATAAAAAAAAAACTGTAATTCAAATTAACGTGTATTGTAAGTTTTAAGATATAAAAAAGGTATTGCAAATACTAACCTTGGAAGTTTTTTCGTTGCTGACAGCAGATTTCGCGTCATCGGTAGAACCTGGCGTGGGAAAAGTTTCTTTATCGTTAGGCATTATAACGTCAAGATCAAATGAAAGCTTTGATTGATATCAAATAAAAGAGAATAGCAGTTTCCCATTAACCAAGAGATACTGCACCGAAAAATATTTATTTTCATGGCAATTAATTCAAAAGCTTACTTTATAATTATGTTTTTTCAAATGATTTCAACGTCAGTTGCGAAAATCTGCCGGCGATCATACCACAAAGAAATGGGTGGGATATTTAGATCATGTGGTGAACCGAATTAATAACTGCACCTGAATATCCGATTTTTATACAATAGTTTCATTTGCAAGTCTATTTATGTTTGATTATTTATTTTTTTAATATTAATTTCTTCAATATATGTCTAACTGGATATATTAGGATCATGGTGCCTAAGAACAAATGGTACCATGGGAATTGATGTTTGAATTTTTAATCCATAATTAGGTACTTACACCTATTGTACCAATAAATAATCATCTAATTTTGATGCTTTATGTATTTTATTTTGTCATTTTCATTTAAAACGGCCGAAAAATTTTTTTTTTTGGATTTGCATAATTCACTGATTTTTATAAAACATGGAGAATATTTTTATTCGACCACCACCTTCTGAAGATTTTGTTTATTATTCAATATACTTCCCTTTTGCCAACTCTGAAGATAAAAATCAAGCTATAATCTTTCTCAAAGAAACAAGTGCTTTGATTATTTCTGAATTACATCAATTTTTGAATGTTTATATTTGGCAAAAAGATGCTTTTAATTTGAGAATTGTAAACAAAGAATCAGGTAATTATATATTTTTATTTTAATATAAAATAAATATTATTTATATATAATATATTACACATTTAGATCCATATCCTTTTCTTTATGGAAAAACAAGAATTGGTGATTGTATTGAGGATGAATGGTTTATAGTTTTTTTATTAAAACATACATCAGTCAAGTTTCCTGATGCTGTTATAAGGTTTTTATATATGCATACATAAACAATTTTTTTAAAATTTCATTCTTGCTCACTGTTTTTTTTTTTTAGTGTTGCAGATAATGATGGAGAGTTTTTGTTAATTGAATCAGCTCAATATCTTCCATCTTGGCTTAATCCTGATAATAGTGAGAACAGGGTAATGTCAAAACCATTACATCTCCTACATTCTAAGATAACTTTATTGAAAAAATTATATATTAACTTTATTATTTTCACTAGAAAATTTCATTTGTTAAATTTAGAGTAAACCATGCAAAATTAATAAAAATATTATTCATATAGGTCTTTATATATCAAAATAATCTTCATATAATTCCTTTGCATCAAACTTCTGCTGCTGATTCACTACATATTCCTACAGGAGAGCTGGCACTTGTAAAGGCAATACAAATAATTCGCAATGATTCAATCAACACTGAAGCAAATGATAAAATTCAACAGTCTGCATTTAATCGAATTTTTGAGTAAGCTAACTCAAAATTTAATGAGATGCATATTTTTATAAAATATCTAAAATATTCTTTATATTGCTTTGCAAAAGATACCCAGAAAAAATTAAGCAAAATTTCCATCATACTAAATGTCACATCCCAAGAAAAATTGCGCATCTTTTATACTATAATCCTCAACTCGTAGCACCAGCTGTTGAAGCATTTTATACTCGTGATCTTGTGTCATTAAAGGTTAATTAACTTAATGTTACTTTTAATTAATTCCAAAAAAGATTTACAATTGATTTTATTAATTATATATTAGGCATGTCAAAAAATGGAAAATTTTCCACCACGATCATCAATGACAGTTATTGTTAAATTCACAAAAACATTATATGCTCAATTAATAAATCAAAGATTTCATCCACCAAAAATATTTATACAACCACCAATTAATTCTGAAAAATATAAAGCTTTTGATTTAGGAATGAAATTGGTGAATGAATTTAATATATCAAACTAATACGTATGTATAAATATAGAACTGAATTAACTTTTATACTATTTTAGGCATGTGGCTTTGAGATTTTGTTTAGAAATAAAAATCTATTCTTAAAGGATAAGGGATTAAATGTCGAGGTAAATAAATAATAATAATAGTTATCAAGTATTGAAATGAAATAATAAATATTTATTATTTGTTATTCTTTAGAAATACTCTTTTAATTCAGATCCGGAATGGATATTTTTTCATGACAAATTATCTAAATATGGGTATTTTCATAATGAATTACCCGGATCTAAATTATATACTCAACTTGAAAATGTTGCAAAAGAACAATTCCTAAAAAATAAAGTTGAAATGTTGAGTGTTGTTCATTATATTATCTTTTTTTAATTAGTTAAAATATAAATAATTAAATAAAAAAGATACACCATAAATTCAATATTCTATTTTAATATTAGTAATGATTTAGATGATGATCACATTGGAAATGAATTATTACCATTAGAACAAATGGATGAAATATTAAAAAAACCATTAACATCAGATGATCTATTACTCAAAAATAATAATACAGAAGATGATGATTCATGGTTGAATATTGATCCTAAACAATTGGATGAACTGCTTGAATCAAGAAATGAAGGCCATCATGAACGGACACAAAAAAAAGTATTATTTTTATATGTTATATATTTAATATATATCACCAAATTTTATTTAATCTTTTAATAAAAATATTTTAGGAAAATGAAAAAATGCAAGATAACTCAATTGATTTAGACAAGATAATTGATTCATTTAAAAAATTTGTTGATTTTGATCTAACAGGAATTGATGGAGCAGAATTTTTAGAGTATTTTTCAAAATATAATTAATTGATTTTTTTTTATTAGAAAAGATTTTATTATGTTAATATATTTGTTATTTATTTCCCATAGTGAATATTTCTCTGATGAAGATTTTGATGATAACAACAACGACAATGAAGATGAGGATGAGAATGAGGATGAGAATGAGAATATAGTAGATGCTGCTGATGAACAATTTAATTCAACAGAATTTTTTAATACAACTAAAAAAATTTTAGGTGTGATTTAATTATTTAAAAGAATTTACAAAGAAACTTCATTTATTGATTTAAAAAAATCTTTTTTTAGATACTTTTAATGAATCATCTATTAATTCAGGAAAAAAACAAACAGGTATTTTAATAAATATTCTTTAAATAATGATGGTTATGATAGAAAAGTAATTCATATTTACATATTATATCATTTCTAAAAGTTTGGAATCGATCAAAAATAATAGAAAGTATGGTTGATAGTGATGATGATGATGATTTTGATATGAAGTCTTATATGCAATCAATGGATCACGAAATTTCAAATACAAACATTCCTAAATCATTTATTTATAGTTATCCAGATCAACTGTCCAGTCAATCAAAATCTGAATTAGTAAATTCTTATAATGAGCCCAATATCTATTCTAAAAAGAATGATTTACATGTACAGGGTGATAATGATGATGATAAAGAATTAGATAGATCAGTTGATATTGATTTAAATCTTATAACAAACTTACTAGAGAGTTTCAAAGCCCAAGAAGGCTTGCCTGGTCCTGGTGGAACTATTTTTGGAAAATTAGGGGTTGGTGCAATTCCATTAGATAAAGAAGAGGAAGAAGAAAAAGATGATGATGATGTGAAAGTGAAGAATAAATAAATAAATAATATTTACATCTTAATCTTCAATTTATTTTTATTGGCCAAATGTTTTATTATAGTTGCATTTGAAAAATGATTTTTGTTATTTAAAAATAGTCTGACAAATCTGCACCTCATATAAATCTCTAGATTTACTTAAAGTAGTGTTTTATTTAGCTTATACAATTGTGGCTGAGTGTCTCCTTGATAGTTTAATTCTCAATTGCGATTGCTTTTCTTTTGTATATGATATTAATAGTGCTGGGTCTATTAATCTGTGTGGGGGCAAGTTTTACTTCCCCATCCAGTAACATTTTCTCAGCAGTTCTTTGTTATCTGCATTGAAAATTTTGGTGGATGAAGTTTATGGGTTTTCTTTCTTCTTGGTAAATTTCATAGATAATCCTTCATTCCTTAGATAAACTTCCAATGTCTGAGTATCATTTATTTTGAAAATATAAGGAGCAATCTTTTCTCCTTGTTTTTTCTTCAAAATATGCTTAATTCTTGGGCTCTGTGGTAGATTTGAAGTAAATGAGTTTCATATTAATCAAGGAGTAATTAGTGTTGAAAAATTCAGTGTAACGTTACTAAGGATACCGGCTGCAACTTTTGATGATGGTTGCTACCATCTTTGCGTCATATAAAAACGATTGCAACCACTG